ACAAGACCAGCAAAATCTAGCATCAAAGAACACAGCAGGCATGCATGCGAAGCTAGGGTAAACGGTCGTACTTCACTTCCTGTTCGCTCGCTGAACATGCTCCACTATCGCTCCAATCGCTCCAGGCTTTCGCCAGGTAAGTATCTTTCCTTCGCTGGACCTCTCCTTCTTTATTCAAGCCTCAACTTCCTCGACCAACCCTAATTAATGCTCGCAGGTTTTATGCTCTTCCTCCCTGCCACCAGTCAGTTTCTCCACCAGCCGGCATTGATCACACTACCTGGCTACGGATGTGTGCGCTCAAACTCCTCGCACCAGAAGACAACCACAGCTCGCTCTGATACCAGTTGCAATGAACCCACAAATTCACACAACTTCTAAAACCACACAAAGTCACACGAGTGAGATGAAAGCCAACACCAGATGAGGAAATTGTTCGGAAATTCAAAGTCTCGTACAACAAATTGTATGCATACACACAAGGAGATGATGGGGTGTTATGGCCATCAAGCAACATCAAACAGGCATGGCTCTCACTCTCACTGTCTGTGCTACCCTCAAGCCTCTCTCTCTCTCTCTCTCTCTCTCTCTCTCTCCCCCTTGCCCATTCTCGCCCAACCCCCTTCATGTTATGCCCCCTCCGAGTCTTTCTTCTCTCTCTCTCTCTCTCTCTCTCTCTCTCTCTCTCTCTCTCTCTCTCTCTCTCTCTNTCTCTCTCTCTCTCTCTCTCTCTCTCTCTCTCTCTCTCTCTCTCTCTCTCTCTCCAAGCGCAGTCACTGTTTGATGGGACTTGCCTATCCACTTCTCTGCTGCTTACAATCCCAGCAAGTTAGCCGTGACCCTGATGGATTCTGCCCGATGCGGGCTTAAGGAGATCCGCTGGAACGGGCAGTGCCAGCAGTCCTTTCCTGCCCCAGGGGGCACTCTGCCTGTGACAGGCACCCCTTCGATATCTCCTGTCCGCGAGTTTGCAGTTCAGGCTTGGAGCTTGGAAGTGGCATCTCATAGCTCCTGCTTCCATTCCAATGTTACTGTTCTTCGATATGCTCTAAGCCGATTGACCTCCCTTATTCCCCCCATGGGCATCCACTTGCTTGATAGACATGAGGGGGTCCAAATTGAAGTTTCCTCATGCAGAGAGGACAGCTGACTCTGTGTGTGGGTTTGTGTCTTCTACCAGAGAGCGAAGCTGCTCTTCCTTTTCTTATCTTACTCCTATTGTCTAGTCCAGGACCAGTTCCATATGGGACCAGATCCATATGGAACTCTTCTACCAGAGGTCAGGGCGTGCCATGTGGAAGTCTTTGAATGAGTGGTACGGCCAGGATGTTTGGCGCAGGCAGGGTCAAACCTTTCGATCGAAGAAGGCGCTGATCATGGTACCAATGAGCCTACCGTCTTCACCCGAATAGAACGCCCGGTCATTATAGCCGTATTTGGTGCAATTTTCAGTCCAGATACAGCTATAATGACCGGGCGTTCTATTCGGGTGAAGACGGTAGTTCAGTCAGTATCCCCATGAACTGTTGAAACGCAGACCCAAGTTCGAGTCCAGCTGAAGGAAGTAAATGAATGAAACAAATATTTCTGAATTACTTGGGGCTGGTCAGCTCCATCAATTATATATATCAAGGCCTATGCCGCCATTTCAAAAACAAGAAAGGGTCCTTCGGGACATCCGTTAAAATTGGAACGATACAGAGAGGATAAGCATGGCCCAAAAAAAAAACAAAAAAAAACAAGAAAGGCTCTGATGATGGAGATAGCAGGATGTTCTGTTGCACACCGAAGGAGGTGTTAAATTCTTTGATTTCCTCTTTACATTTTAAAAGGGTTACGGTCTTGAGATATCCCCATTGAGCTCACCGGCGCTATTTCGCAACGACTACATGTGAGTGTGTAAACGGGCCAGATTCATCAACGATAGTCTGAGGCTGCCTTGAAATGAGTCGCGGTGCTCAGTGCTTCGTTCTCTGACAGAAAAATTAAGTTGTTGGCAAAGGAGGCACAGCAGACAGGGGAGAGGGCAAGAGTCACTCCATGCATTACGTGCCGTAGGTGAGGGGATCGAACCCTCCCTAACCACAATCACGTTGTCATGATTCAAAACAGGGAAGAGGGCAAGAGTCACTCCATGCAGCAGTTGATGTAGCTGAGGGGATTGAACCCTCCCAAGCCACAATCACAATCACGTTTCAAAAGGAAGCATGCCCCACCTGCTACGACGTCATGATTCAGCCCTTGCTGAATCAAATGCTTTTCATCCTTGCCTCCGCCCTCAGCAAAACTACTGTCTTCCCCCCAACACAACGCACCCTCATTTTGACTGTATCGGGCCGAAAACATACCTTGTATACGTTCATTTTCAGGGTGCGTTATGTTCGGGGGAAGACGGTAGCCACATCTTAGCACGAAAAAAAAGGTGCTAAGATTTAAGCATGAGGACTGCTCATCAAAAAGTTTGTTGTTGATAACTCTCGTTCACAGATTTCAATAATTAATGACCGTATGGCTGACCTTACACACAGAGCAGCCTTGACAACGGTTAATGAGCAGCAACTGATGGCTGACATGGACAGACTCAAACAACAATGGACGCTGCATACGCAGCCTGCGATAAGAGCCGTTACACACCGGAAGCGCATATCTTGGCTAATAAAAGGGGACCGAATGACTGCACCTTTCTTTGAAGGACGCCGCCCCCCCCTGAAGTCTGGGTTGATCCTTGCGATGAAGCATCCGTTCCTGGATACAGAGCCACTCGCTGCTGATACTGCAGCGATTATTTTCATCATCTCGTTGTTTTACATGAGTCTGCTGGCATCACAAGCTCAACATTCTGAGGAAGAATTGCTTATTCAATTTCACCACGCGATTTGGTCCAAATTGGACCGCGTGTTACGGACTCAGCCAGGGCTCGATCCCTGGTCCGCGAGTTACCACCCGCCAGGCTGCTATTTTATTCTGAGTTCCTGATCTCCCGTTCTTGACTGCTGGCACCCTCTGCAGTTGGCGCCCGTTCTCGAATCCCTCCACTGGCACTCTCGGATTTCGATACTTGGCGCCATCTGGCATTCTGGCGCCCAGACGCAGACCTGCGATCCTCAGTTCAGTCCTGAGGCATGCCACACCTCGGCCCTCTGGACTGAGCCTGAGTCTGGTACTTAACTCTGGATTCAAGCCCCGTTGGGGCATTCGGCCTTCGGCCTCAGTGACTTTGCGACTTTGTGACTTTGAGACTTTGTCCTTCGTGTCTGCATCCATCGTGTCGAGTCGAGTCCGTGTCCGAGTCGAGTGAGTGCGTGTGTGTGCTCTCCCTCTCTCTCTCTCTCTCTCTCTCTCTCTCTCTCTCTCTCTCTCTCTCTCTCTCTCTCTCT